CCAATACACCTGGACCTGGAGGTGCTGGACTGCACGGCAAGCTTTTTCAAGCCGCCATCCATTGTGGTCCAGTAAGTCCGTGGCTGGAAATTGTCGGAGTAGGCAACGAGCAAATCTCCACAAGGCTGGGGCTGTATACCCAGCCATTGTGGTCCGCTAGGCCCAAAACCCGGAATTTTCGGAGTAAGCGACGGGCAAATCTCCACAAGGCTGGGGCCGTGTACTAGCAGTTTAAAGGGACTTTTACTACAGCAAGGAGTAGAGGAAAGACCCTTGATAAGAATGACACCATGATCAAAGGGATGCAGGTTTCATGTTTCCTGACTTCGCAGTTTGACCGAATCCTGGCCAAGGACCACACGTAACAAGTGCCCACTGGAGTCATTGGTTGGAATTCGGGATGTCGCGTATACGCGATGATCCTCGAAGAATAGTGGCTAATATGACATAAGGGGCTATAGATGCACAGATCATACAGATGATTAAAGCGTCAGACTGGTTGAAGCAGGAAGCATGCAGAGAACAGACACACGAAGACATACAAGCATCAGAGTGGAGAATACCTTGTGTTGCAGCACTCGGTCTCTAAACGCTTGGGACTGACACATGAGATGAAGGGCATGGACTGATGCTTCTGTGTGACTAGCCATGAGTTCCAGGAGTGATGATGGCAGGCCTGGTGTAGTACCACTGCCTGTGCCACCTGATGACCAGTCCTCCTCCATGGCATTAGGACCCTTCCCCAATCGGTTCCCTTCACGGTCACCATCATCCATGACGTCTGCAGCCTGCAATTTTGCCTTCAGCAGTTCGACTGATTTCCTCACAGCCTCCACGGATGCATCCATGAACACTTCCGCCTGTTTGACATTAGAAAGAAAAGGCACTGAATTCCATTAATACGTGAGAAAAAAACTCATTATCTATGCTTAGAATCAAATCTTGAATGTCAAAGCCAGCAGGCCTGTGCATCCCAGAGCCCTAATCCAAAACCCTGCACCGTAAGGGCCTTAAGGGTATGTATCTAATCTACGTCTCAGACCACCACTACCTCCTGAAAACAACAGGCCAACCCATGCAGACACGTTTGGGGGGGCAGGGGGGAGGGGGCAGGGGGGTGAGGGGGACGGGAGGGGGGCAGGGAAGCTGTGGCCATAGGATCGTCAGTCCTACGGGTCAACTGAAGAAGGGCAGGCCTGCACACAGAAAGATAGTCGTAGTCTGAAGGACTCGAGCACACGTCCACAAGATAGTGGTAGTCTGAAGGACTCGAGCACAGAAAGATACCTGGCCACCGGTTCACGTACCTGGTCTTGCCGATGGTCTACAAGGTCGACATCTTCACGTACTATGGTTGTTGCTGCTGACCACAACAGGATGCATTGTCGATTTGTAGGCTACTAGTAGCTGTGTGATTGTAGGCTGGGTGCTGAGCGCCAAGTAGGAGGAAGGGCTCTGGATACATATGTTGGTGATGGCGAGAGCATGCTCTCATCAACATCTTGGCGCTCAGCGCCCAGCCTACGATCACACAGCTACTAGCAGCCTACAAATTGGCAACGCATCCTGTTGACGTCAGCAGCAACAACCGTAGTATGTGAAGATGTCGACCTTGTAGACCATCACCAAGACCAAGACCAGGTACGTACCCTCACATCACAACCTCATCTCTCTCTCTCTCACCGTTCTACAACCCACGTCTTCCCTGTCATGCACGAGACCACCACCACCTCCACTGGCTATGTCCAAGCCAAGTCCGGCTAAGGGGGCTGGCTATGGCACTGCCCTCAGCAGCGCCCTTCACCCTCCACGTCCCCGCTTGCAGGCAGCACCAGCGCTGGCGCAGCAAGCAGCCCGCGAGCGATCGCTCCAGCAGGGCTGCCGCCCACAATTGCAAGTGCCCAATTCTCTCGACTGGAGCCCAGCCCTTTCCTATATGGAAAGTGGTGGGCGCTTTCCCACTTGCTTCCCACGTGAGACCGAGTTTCCAGTAGCTTCAGTCTCGCCCAAACTGTCTGCGCCCAGGCCCGTTCAGACAGTGGCCTGGGACCGAATTGGTTAGGCATGCCCAACCACCCAGGCACAAACATCCGGTGCTCCCTGCTTCGACCACGTTGCTGGAAGAGCCTGGAAGCCTCACAAATATTTTGGATTCTCACGAGCAAGGCGGATGTAACCAGATCTCTTGTTTTCCCTTTCGAAGGCGTTCTAACTTCTAAGTCCTCCTCGGGGTGGATGATGTTTTTTCTTGCGCCAGCGCCTAAGGTTAACCTGAGTGAGGACGCCGCCCGGCCAGTTGGGCCCGGGGGGGACGCCCGGGTAAACCAGGCGGGCCAAAAAAACGCCCATAAATATATACTGTCACACAGGGTTGTTTTGGCGCCTACCACCTACCCCTACCGTAGGCGGTAGGCACGCCTACCAGTCAGGCTGACCCGTAAGAGGACCCGTCGGCGGTCGGCAGACTGCCTAAATTTTTTTATTTTTTTATTCCGATTGACATGGTCGTGTGCGGCTTGAGGAGGGCAGCCCAAATCCGCAATAATTTTTTTGGGGGGTGGTGGGTTCATAGGGGGAGGTATAAGGGGGTTATAGGGGGAAAGGGGGTGAAGGAGGGGGTATGAGGG